ACACTGGGTTATCCACCAGTCTCCCAGTGTGAGCCGAGACCACTCGTCATCGGTGTAGAACCACTCGTTCACTGCGGCCCGCTTGTCGGGATAAGAGTCATTTCAAAGAGTCTGGGGGGGGGGACGCCTGCAGCACACTGGGTTATCCACCAGTCTCCCAGTGTGAGCCGAGACCACTCGTCATCGGTGTAGAACCACTCGTTCACTGCGGACCGCCTGGAGGGGATAAGAATAGTCCATATTACCAGTCTCAAATGATCTTTTGCTCGTCCAGATGTTTTTGATCTCATTATTTTCTTTCCTCTACATCTATTATTGCTAGACTTGGAAAAAGGTATATTTTTGCAAAAGGAAGCTGGAAGTTGAATGTGATCTAAAACTTATGCAAATAGAGAAAGGGAAAGCTCTGGAGCTTGCTCACATTCGAGAGATCAAATGAGCAAGAACTATGGTATGTTTACTATATATTACTTTAATTTTTATTGATATTGAATGCTGTGCACTGACTAACTGGTTTATGTATTATTATGTGCAGATGCAAATCTCTGATACCCATAACAATGCTTCTGTTGAGATGCATAATGGCATCACACAAGAACTAGTGAAGCAATCACACAAGTATGTTTTGTCCCTTATCATTTTTTGCTTGATACCTTACTAGTAATCTGACATGTGTTCTAACACTGACCTTAGGAATAATGTTGACAATCAGGCATGTTTTTTTAGCTTTTTGAATTAACATGTAATTTATAATTTAATGTTAATATTAATGTGTATTCTATCTTATCAATTTAGGAACAGTGCATGCATGCCCAAGATTTGGAAGGACAAGATCCTGAATATGAAGCGAGACCTCTCAGAAATAGACTACACAATAACAGTCATAGGGCCTGTAATAAGAATAGTCTTCTCTGATATCAACTTTCTCCAACTAAAATGGTAAATATTTTGTCTGCTGCTAAAGTTAGTTGTTCATTCTGTCTCATTTCTTCACACTATAATTATTGTAATGTTATAGGGGAGAGACCCAATCTACATCAACATCATGTTGATGCAAAATTGATTTGAGAATAATCCATAGGACTAACAGATTGAGTTTAGCCACTCAGAATTTGCTTGAGTGGCATTACCAAGCAAGATGAGGAAAGACCGCAGCAAATGTTTATGAACAAATAAGAGTGTACTTGATTGTTACCTCCAAAACAATCTTTCTGATGAAGCAGTTAGAGACTCTGCAGTTTTTGGATTACAGTTTGCTGGTAATCTCATCAATATAAGTACTGCACACTTTAATAATTTATAATTAACATTCACTAATACTAATTATAATACTAATTATTTGTACCATAGGTCTCTGTGGCCAGCTTGTGGGTATTGATGTTTTGGACAAAAGTCTTTATGTTGGATTTGAAGGACCTACATGTAGATTCCCGGCCCAATTATCTGATATTGCAGCCCTTCAACCACTATTAGAGATACTATATTTCTTCAAAGTAAGGAGTTGAATGATTTGAAACTGCTAGTATTAGTATATTATATTTCATGATAGTTGGTGGCTAATGACAGATTTATTGATAATAGGAAAATATTGTGCAAAAGGCTAATGCTTTGTCTCACCTTAATGCAAGCCCATTTCAGAAATTTTTCATGAGTTGGGCAATGAGACAAGACCACATCACTGAAAATCAAATTATATTATATCACTTACTTCACACCACATAAAGTGTCAGTCATCAATAAATGAAGGGATTGTGTCTACCATAATAACAGTGTTTGCTTTGCTTAAATAATTGGATGATTCTTGCACAATTGATTATGTACTTGCAATTATGGCATGAGTAATATCTTTTTCATAAATGTCCATTTTCCTGGAATGTGAATGTCTTCTACTGTTTACTATTACTAGGCGAACAATTATGATGATGCTCATGTCTTGGGATATTATCCTATCCAAACACTCCTAACCAGGTTTCGATAATACCATTTAGTAGCATTTAATCCGTTCTGTGGTTACAAACATTTCTGCAAATCGAAATCAAATGGTACTAACGATAATAACTACGTATTAGTATGTTGTGGGCGTGCAGAAAACTGACTGCATCGGAATATATTTCTGACAGTTTAGCGCAACGCCTACGATAGCAAAATGACATCACTTAGACCTTATCTCAACTAAGAATCGGTTTCTACGGATTGAATATCATATTATCCTGGTATTAGAATAATTTTATTTAAATATAAACTGTCTGGTAATGAAGACTCGTCGTTGGCAAAATGTTAAAACGCTTTCGCCCGTCATCGTATAGGATTAAACTTGGCATCGATTTCAATAATCATTAATTCATCATTAATGCCAACAAGGCGAAGGTTACAATGATAAAAAAACCGTTACTTTTAACGCGTTTTGAACGTAGACGCAACCGCAGACAATTGCGACATTAACTTTTGTCGAGATCGGCAGGCATAAAAACAGATGACACGAGTACATAAGAGCAATTCTATGTCGTTATTATTAATTCATTTGTTTACTAAATTCGAAAGAGCAATCAATGCCTCTTCAAACAACTCTTTTGTTATTACGTTTATCTGTATCTTGCTTGCTATGACTATTTTAATAACGGTATTGTATTATATAAGCCGAAACATGTCCCCAATCCAATTGTATCGCTTATGCTTGTTATAAATATGTTGACAGAGTTCCGTTCGGTAAAACAGTCACGAACGGACTATTCGGATCAATTTTTCTCTCCTTTGTGACTACTGCTGACTTTCCTGCTTCGTCGGACGAGTCTTCACGAGAGGATTGTTTACGTTTACAAATTTTTTGTTTGGAACTTTGTCAGTTGGATCTGTTAGTTCTCTTTATTATCGATGATTTTGGTAGGTACAGAGGTGAAATGTAGAAAGACATAGAGCTAAGCTAATTGTTAACTTTGTGACGTTGTTATTATTATAGACCAATCTAATTAGTGATGGCCCGCTACATAAATGGAAGTTTTTTATTAATGTTCGAAAACTATGTTATATTCAGAAATATGAAAACTTAGCACTACACTTTGTATGAAATGTATTATTTCTTACAAAGTGTGGTTTTAAAAATGATCTCTCCATGGTTTAAAATACAATAACAGGATACGCTTACATATGCATATTGTTAATAACAATGTCAAAGGGATATGGAATAGTTTGTCACCAGAACGCTAAACGAACAGCGTTCGACTGAATAATAATGTCTTGGTTCAGTGGAAAAGCAAATAATTAAAACACATCGCTCGATATTTCAAAGATTCACATTCTATGATTTGCTGACCCGTGAGAAAAAGTTTATCTGGATCATATGCGCACACCTCCACTCCCCATGCAGAAATCACAAAAATAGCAATCTCGAGCAATTACAGGTGATATGAGCATCCATAAAGTAAGTGGTTTAAATAATTACGAGAAAAGCTCCGATGAATTGCTTTTAGTTGGATTAATATTAATAAGGGTAAATGAATTTATGCAGTGATATTATTATTGTACTTATTGGCAAAATGGAATAATTGTGTAAACAGCTGATTTTGTTGTTAACTAAAGAAATGTTTAATTGGTCAAAATCCACCCCAAGTATTTTGAATTGGGTGACAATTTGGTGGAATGCATGTATTTATATCATTAGATTTTTGAACACCAACTTGATCAATTAATCATAAATAGTAATAGTGACAGTTTACAAGTAAATCTGAGAGAAAATGGAAGACAGAAGTGACAAGTTTGATTGATGCACAGCCTAAGTGAAACAAAAGTATCTATGTTGTCATTTATTTTGACTTGCAGCTTATAATTACAGACAATTTAAAGAACAGTCTTTTAGAAACTGTTGTGACTGGGATAAATTTATTGTTATTAATTCTTTGAAAATTTTGTAGAAGATTACCATCAAAATTTTTTTCAGATAACTATTACTATGTGATAATAGAAGAAGTAATCAGTTCTCCTTCTCTTAACATTCAGATAAAATAATACACTGAATTATAAATAACTTAGTGTCTTGTACTCCCTGAAGTAAAATAGGAGAAATAAGAAGGTATAGAGAACAAGCCAGATATGGAAGTTTTACTATTATTTAAAAGAATTTTCTGCGACCATTTACATTGTCAGCATTACCTTATGGAGCAGGATATTCTCAAAAAAAAATATTCTTGGTAAGCTCTATAATAATACGGGATTTTGATTTATCTATATTAATTTTAAAAACATATGAAACAATTTTCCTTCCTTGAGCCATTCTGATTATGCTGTTACTATTTCCATAGTGCTTTGTAAGGCCATCATTATGAGGTACAATTGGCGCAGTGTCACAAAATAAATTTCTGTGATGAAGTGTCATCCATTAATTAATTCTACATATATTTCACATGCCAAATTTACGCAGTAAAGTTCTGGTACTGAAGTGGAAGACCATACCGAATATTACAAAATTCTGTAGAAAAAAAAAGCATTGGTATAAGAATCTCGTAGTTAGCGATAATAGTAATATCCGTAAAATTTGTCAGAAGCTGATACCACTATTACTATTGCTTTGTATTTGAAAGTCAATAATTAGGTTTCGCCACTTTATTAAGTATTTGCATCCTGAAAATTGTAACATAAAATTCAGCAGATAAGTAATCATGTGGTATAGGAAAAAAATTTTTTTAATGCCCTTAATATTAATGTTGAGCATCGCATTATTGACTCTTCTAATTTTGGCGTCTCAAACGTTAATTTTTCGAGTATAGATTTACGTTACTTTACAAAGCCACCAGGGATTATTTTGATGTATCAATGTTTGCGAGCCTATTATTATGTCGATTGTTGATATCTTTTTAACAGGGCATTCCCACGACAATTTCGTCCCATTGGTGTAAATTTTGTTGGTGTCATACAGCCCAAAGTTTGTCCCGATTTTCCAAACGGCAGTCTGCACGGCCTCACCACACGAATTTATGTGAAGATTGGAGGTAAAGAATAAGATGATAGGTCTATTCTGCTGCAAATAATATTATATTACGTGCCCTAACACGTGTACCAACTTTGAATTCAGTCCGCAACAATACAGAAATGAAAACCCTAGAACTGTTCGCATAAAAAACAAAAGCAATTTGAACTCGCTGATGTGGAAACCTGATGAGGTAGTAAACACTCTTATCTGTCGGAGATTATGGATTGAAAGCAAACAACCAACTTGTTTTTCTAATTTCACAATGATGGTGAATATTGTGCGAAAAATGGAAATAACCTCAACATTTGCAATAGGGAGCTTTATTATTATTATGTAGTGAACAACTTAAATCCAGAATAGCGCATAACTCATGTTAGATATCTCATCCTGCATATAGTGGCACGAAGCTCATTTAAGGGCAAAATATGGATGGTGAATTGACTATTGCCAGGTGTCAAAACATTTGTGGCGTATAAAATCCTCTTGCGTTACACTCGTTTACGTTGTCAATTTCAAAAATGTTATCATTATGTAATTAAAAATGCTCCAATTTTAAACTGGGTTTATTTTCGCAGAATATGTTTGACTATTTTTTAACCTGGTCTGTGTAGTCAGTTTCATACGCTGTCCGTTCGCCTAATGCCTGAGCTGATTGACTATGCATCCCGTATTCAATGAATTTTGGCAAAACCCGTGTTCGAATCTGATTGGGCAAATTTGTTTACCTACTTATTCACCTTTGGAAGTTATTGAATGCGTCATCTGATCTGTCATAAACATTTACTTGTCAAATCAGGCAACTGCAACGCACATCACATCGCGAATGTGTCATACGTAAAATGAGTTAGTGAAACAAGGCGAAGAAAAAAAGAAGAAACCTCTATTCATCACTCGAACGATGGGATTGATATATATCCACACGTTTATTAAAATGTATTTACATGCATTAAATTTAAAAAGTACAGACTGTACCGCTACTCTATATACGTATCCCGTCTCGCGATAAATGAATAAATCCTACCGTCAGCTGTTGCGCTCTTCCGAACTAAAATATTGTCTAAATACGCTCTCATTTTTCAAATTATCATTCTCAGCAACAGTATTATATACATGTAAAAGGAGTCCGGGAAACCGAGAAGTGAAATAATTCAAAAAACCATCAGGAAGATCGCCTAATGCACGCTTTACCTTTTCATCATCATCCTGGTAATGATTTTTCTAATGGGATAGATGGTATTAATTAATACTCGCATCATAGAGCTCGTAAACATTTGGCGGCAATATTTCATACCTTATTTCGTAAAGCGCGCAATAAGTCTCTAATTTTAGTGCCATCGTACGATCTATGTTTTCTAAGATTTTCCTTGATTACCCCATCAAGAAGAAAATGCCAATCTGACCCCGTTATTGCACGAGCCCCAAACTCGAGACGCTTAAGGAGTTCGGATGGTGGATCGCGTCCTTCTTTTTCAAATCTATCTGATGCATCTTGTAAGAATGCAAGACGCCTTGTGGGAGACCAGAAGTAAGGATGTATTATTATATTACCCGCCTTCGGCCTGTCGATATGGTAAAGCGACAAAGACGACAGTGTCACCATTAGCATAATATTTTCAATAACGACACCACAACGATAACAATCTTACCTTTTCAACGGATCATTGTTTATCATCCGCTCAATCAAGTCTTTGGCTTCAGGCTCCAAATGCTCTATTTTATATATATTAGTTAAAATATTGGCTTCTCTAGAAATAATGTTACCAAACGGATGTCCTCCGTTTGATAAAATATAATAAAATAAGCATCCAGCAGAGAATATGTCAATTGCTCTGGTAAATCTCCGTGGTTGCTCATCACTGCCTTCATCTGCGTATGACGATGAAAAACTATCGCTTGTATAATTATCAATTGTTGACTGCGGCAGCAATTCTGGTGCTCTCCAACCAATAGTTCCCCCACCACTGCTTGTCCCAGGGAGACTACTACCGGTTCCCTCTATCTTCCTGCTTAGACCAAAATCAGATATCTTCGCTTGAATAGATGTATTACCACCTTTCGCTAGTGCTATTAAAATATTCTGTGGCTTGATGTCCCTATGCACAATCTTCATTTCGTGCAAGTAATTCAACCCGCTGATAATTTGGTAGAGAAGGGTCTGAGATTTAACAGACGCAAACGCTGTGAGCAATTCGGGATTCTGAATCGCGGCCCGCCGTTCGATAACCTCGTAGAGTGATGCATCACAGAGCTCAAGAGCAATGTAGTAGAAATTTTCTCTCCTTTCCATACAGTGGTAGCGTATTACGTTAGGATGAAAGTCATGTTTCTCTAATAATGATACTTCACGCTCTACTACGTCGTAGAAATCGGTAAGGAGGCGCTTAACCGCAACCTCACGACCTCCGAATGTTCCCTTGTATACTATTGTCCCATGACTTCCCCAGCCTAAATTACAATATAGTAGAAATATCGTTATACACAGTTCCGACAATCACGTATTCAAAATCTGACAAACTTACCTATGCCGACATCTGATACTACAAGTTTACTGAGTTTTACTTCAAAAATTGTTTCCGTGTCTTTAGGTGAAATTTTACCATTACTAGAGTCATTGACAATAGACGTCCGAACAGCGGTCGTGGGTGACACATTCTCGGTAAGCATCGACAAATCAGGGTCCTCGTTCTCAGCCAATTCAAAAGAAACCTTCTTGTTTGTTGTAGAACTTTTCCTTTTTTTTTTATTGGGCGTGCCCTTCTTCATGTCTTTAGGAAACTGGTGTTTTTTCCTAAGCTTCTGCCCACCATACTGCGTCCACGTCCCCCATATCCCAAGTGCTATAACAGTCAACCAGGAAAGTACAACGAAAAACTTATAGTATTGAGTCTCGTTGGGACTGCCAGATGATGGCGCATCCTCTTCGGGAACAGCTTTATCTTGGTTTTCACTAGATGATGAGAGAAGTCGTTGATTTATTGCATGTTTTCCGACCAGACATTCCGGATATCTTGCAGCCTTCGAATAGCATGACTCTTCGCTATCATCGTCAGTACCGTCCACGGCATAAACCGGGTAATCAGAAACAGGAGGCGGGGAAACTTTTGCCCAATTTCCAAGTTGAACCATCGGATAATTATCGCTGGACATTGCAAAGTAAGCACCTTCTATGAATCCTATATGAGTCGACAAAAGTGGGTCGCGATTGTCATTTTCGCTGATGGGTATTTTGGGCTGTCTGACTACGTAGAGCGAACCAGAAGAATCCTCTCCTCGGATAACGTTGAATATAGTCATCGCTGGCGACGGCAATTTTAGAGTCCATACGACCATGCCTGCAGGGAAAGTTCGAAATGTATATATTGAATTCAATTAGATACATCAATCAAGCAAGCATGCTTATTTCTTCATAGTGAAACGTTTTACTGACCGCTGGCGACGTCTGTAGCACGTACTTCGCCGTCGGGAGACGAGGCAATGTAATGTGGAGGTTGATAGTTTAGCTCGGGTTCATTATCGAGAGTACTTGGGACGAATTCGTCGAAAGCCACATCCACAGCTGGCTTAGTGCTTCCTCTATTGTGTATGGTAAGTTTGTATTCTATATTTATGCAATGTCCGTCAGCAAAATGAAAGCCAATAATTGTGATGTGCATTTCAACTCACCGTTCTTCCCAATGTATAAAGTATCCGGTGGCAAGACGTCGAAAGCGGAAGCACGACACGTTCCTCCCTCACTATCAACATATTTAAGAATTGCGCCACTTCGTGGGTCAATTGCAAAAAGTTTGCTCTTCTTGCTTCCGACAAAGACTTGTCCGGTTTCAGAGCGGCGCGGGGAAGCATCAACCATAGATTGTATGGTCCATGGAAATTTCTATAAAAAAGAACAAGAAGTTAGCATACAGCAAACAAGTTACTACAGACCTACATTCAGGACAGCTACCTGCAATCCCGTACGGTGAGAATACAAGTATAGTCTTCCTTGATTGATTGGTTCAACCATGAATTTAAATTCCTCTACACCTTCATCACCGTCGGGCTTATCATCGATTTCTTCATGAACCGAGTCGATGGGTTCTTCTACTTCGTTTGACAAAGCATTTTCACTTTCTGATTCGTCAGAAACCGCATCCGACTTATGTTCGTCTTCCTCCTTTTGAGTAGCCTGTTCCCTAACTAATGGACCTCCGGCTACACGTTCTTTCGTCCACAAAATGCTACCAGTATCTCTACGAACGCAATGCAAGCTTCCATCGATAGTAACCATCAAAATTATATTAGTCGTTTTAAATTCTTGCTGAATAGGCTTTTCTGCAAAAGCATTCGCGAGAAGACGCTTTTCGTGCGTTTGACCGACAGGTGCCAGGTCGTCTGAGGTTTCTTCTGCTTTGGCCCAAGTGAATGCTGTCATGTATAACATAATGCAGAACAATAAAGGCCACAAAACCAGGAGCCTTCGCCTTGCGACAAACCCATTTCGTTGCTTCATTGTCTCCAACACCAGCTAGTCTATACCAAGTTGAAAAAAATAAGAATATGATGCTTAAATATATGTTGCTAACGTGTATATTTGTTTAATTATGAAACATTATACGGAAATTGCGAAGTGAGATAACTTTTGCGAGCCTCATGTTTATATGGACTATCCCGTGAGCATTTTGTGTTACATGCTAATACAAGAAATTCAACATGCCTAATTCCCACCGTTATTTCTGTTTTTGTCGGTCTCTGCCAATGAAAAAGAAGCATCACAAAATGGTGATCAACATTGATCTTATTGATGTTCCTTATGTTATTAAACGGAGAAATTTAGATCATCGTTTTTCGATATAACAATAGCTATAATAATTGGGCGTTACTTTCTTGATTGAGATATTTTATATTCACATTTAGGGTAGCGTAATACTAAATGTGATGACATTATTCTGATCGGGGCGAAATTTCTATAAATATCTTTCTGCACTTTTGAGTATCTCTGTACTTTTTTTTTTAACACTGTCTCGCAACATAGTAGAGTTCGGTCGTTATTTGTTGAAGGTTAAAAAAGGCTTGTTTTTCCAATCTGTACATTTAATAATCTTTAAATGGTGGCTAACTTGGTCTCTCGAACTTGAACTTTCTGATAACTGAGGACTTTTCTATCATTCAACCTATGGGAGATTTGTAATATATGCATTTTATAAAAAGTGTTTTCCAAATATCGCAAGTTACTGGGAACAGACAACTGAATTGCGTAGACTCTTGGTGATATATTCACCCTTTTTAAACTCATGTCGTAGAAGTTATGAACCTGACAGAATCTCTCTCTATTTCAAACGTTATTTTTGCGACAGAAATCACTTTATCGCTCGGCGGCGCCGATTTCCGTTTATCGTCCATTTCGATGTTTTCACCTAGCCGTGTGGGTGCTTTCGTGGCTATTCCTTAAACCGCTCAGCAGGCAGATAAAATATTTTTGACCAAATTTTCTGTGATTGCTATTGCTCGTGATTTTCGTGACAGATTAAAACGAAATGGGGTAAACGACTTTTTGTACTTTGATATGGAAAGTTTTAAATTTTTTGGGGGACGTTAATTTTTAGACTTATTATTTTTAAGGTAATGTTTGATAATATGTGGGTTTCTGAAGTCACGTTAACCCGATTTCGTTTTAATGTTGCCACAATGATCCCAAATGATAATATACACATTACAACTAAAATTATGGTAATTATCCCTTAGCTTTCAAACCACGGTTTACATCTGGAAAGCATTTCGCAGAATGAAGTAGCATATTAATATGCACTTGTTAGCAAGCAAATAAGCTGAATATGGACCATAAAACATTACTCGAAGTCAGATTTTGTGTGTGTTGCGCTGTAATAGCAATCGTAACTGTTTTTTCAACTTTTGCATAAAAACGGTAATAATGAAAATATTAAATTAGAGTTATCCTTAATACAAGCGATCACTCTTATTTGAAATTCAACGTAAACTGTCGCATAAAAAATGCCGCCGTGGTTGTACACGTCTTCGAGCGATGTCACTAGCCAGTTCGGTGCTTGAATGTCACAATGTCGGTTCGTTCGGTCCTAAAAATAAGAACTATAATATATAAAGGAATGAGTGACAAATCCTCGCGTCAAGGACCCTAAAAATAAGAACTATAATATATAAAGGAATGAGTGACAAATCCTCGCGTCAAGGACCATAGAAGAACGTTCACAACAGACGTAAAATACGCAAGTTGCGGCCCGATGCGCTTTTAATTCTATGGTCCATGTACCCTATTCACCACACAGTCCGAGCCCACTACTCAGCTACATCACCTTTCGGAACGGATATCGAACGTTCACATGCAGTAAAATCGTACCAACTCAGGTCGACAGCACAGCTATGTTACCCAGCGACGATCGCCGGAACCACGATTGCCAAACGTATTCTATTCACCACAGGAAGCCAAATTTGGCTTGACTTCTTTTCGGTAACAGGGGTTTTGTTGAAAAACCGCAATTTACACCTAGTGGCAGCGTCCCTTCGGATACGTATCCCGAAAGGTAAACGATCCACAACATGTGGCCCGATGCTCTTTCAAGATATCCGATTTTTACACCTAGTGGCAGCGTAACTTCGGGCACAGACACTCAAGAATTCACCCAATAAGAATCCTTACCCCGTCTTCAAAAGTTTTCCTCTCGCGTCTTTTAAACAAAAGTACGCGTCATCAGTGTGGGCCTTTATGTTGGTCAGTTTCTCTGGGTCTTTAGCGTCGGTTTGAGTAACAAATCTGCGCTTGTGCTGCTTTTAGCCGTCCGTAGACGTTGTCACCCGCTCACCACGTTGAGGTAGCAGCACTTCGAGCGGGAAAACCCGCACCTACCAATAGTATATATATATTTATTAGTATACTGGTATACGAAGTTATGTTGAAAGAAAATAATAAAGCTCTTTTAAAAACATTGTATACATATTTTTATTTTTATTGTATGCGTACCTTATTAGTATGAAAGAAGAGCCTTAGTAAATATGCCACTTAGAGGGGTATGAAAAATCGCAATTTCCCATACATTGTTATAAGCGAGTAGAGTGGTTTAGGTCCAGCGATCGCAATCCCTGGACATGAACTTGGCAATCGCAATTCCCAAGA